CTAAACCATGGTCAAAACTTCCTGAAACCATAATCCCTAGTCTTGAAGACGTAGCGTCATCACTGAGGCAAGAAAATCCTCCTACTCCCTCAATTGGACAGGTTAAGACTGCCTTGAAACAACTAAACCCTAAAAAAGCCACCGGGTCCGATGGGATTCCAGCATGGGTGCTTAAACGATACTGTGAAGAACTAGCGCCCATCGTTCATGACATTATTTGCGCTAGTATAAAAGAATGTGAATATCCAACTGCGTATAAACACGCCTTAGTTATCCCAGTTCCGAAGGTCAATCCACCAAGAGATATAGAGAATGACTTTCGCCAGATATCCATTCTTCCCCAAATGGCTAAAGTGCTGGAAAAGCTGCAGCTCAAACTGAACCTTCCCAGTTCACGTATAAATGATAATCAGCATGCCTTTACAACCAAACGATCAACCGTGTCCGCACTCACCAACATCTCGCAGAACTGGTTTAATGTGACCGACAATACTCATAGCGCCAAAAATGGAGTTCATGCACTATTCATAGATTTTCGCAAAGCGTTTGACCTTGTTGACCACGGAATTCTACTTCGTAAGCTCGCAAAAATGAATGTAACCAAAGCCTTTTGGCAATGGACGCGTAGTTTTCTGGAAGATAGAAGACAACAGGTTAAACTAGCAGGAACCCTATCATCGGTCAAACCTTGTCCTGCAGGAGTCCCACAAGGTTCTGTGATGTCCCCCGCTCTTTTTAATATTCACATTAACGATATTGAGAACTCAATCCCAAATGGATTATCCATAAACATATGCAAATACGCGGATGATTGTACACAGGACGAAGTGGTGTCACAAGGTTCATCCAGCCATATGCAGGAGGCCCTTGAAGCAGTACAAGAATGGTCTAATAGGAACAAAATGACGATAAATTCGAAAAAAACAAAAGATATGTGGATATGTTTTAACACAGCAATACCGGCACCAGAACCATTGGTCATTGGAAACGAGGTAGTGGAAAGAGTAAATTCTCATAAACTGTTGGGTGTCTGGCATCAAAACAATTTGAAATGGAACTGTCATGTTAAGAACATTGTAAGGAAAGCAAATAAACGAATGTTTAGTCTGAGAGAATGCCGTAGGGCGAATCTTCCTCCTGAGGTCGGTATTACATGTTATGAATCCAAGATTAGCCCTGTTTTAGAATATGCAGCTCCGATATGGGGTGGTTTACCACAATATCTCATTGATGAAATAGAGAGCATTCAAAACAGATGCATCAAAATCCTCGGCACATCTCGGTGCAACTTTGAAACGCGAGAACAAAGAAGGGCACACCTAACTGTTAAGGAATACCAAAGAATTCTAAGTGATCCGACCAACCCATGTAATAAACTTATCCCCCAACCTTTTACCCATGAACACGATCTAAGAGCAACAAATAATCTACCATATGTTGTATCGTATACTAAAAGACACCGGCAATCCTTTATACCTAGAGCTATATCCCTTTTAAAACAGTCGTAAATTAATTTTATAGAATATATAACTAGTATAAACATTTTTAGCAACATTGATGTAAATAATAGTAAAATTTCTTCTTATCAATTTTAACCTTAGCACTTCTTGTAAATCCATTGTACTTTTTTAACCAAAGATGGATATTAAATGTTATTATTATTATTATTATGAAAAAGGTAAATCCTTTTAATGTACAGTGTACACAGTCTTCATTACGGCATTTATGTATCAAACTATATATATTTTGAAAACCGGCAGACGTAGCGGTTTCTTTTGGCGTTTTGTACTTTTCCATAGTAACACAATAAAACAGTAAATTATGATGTCCATGCTTAGATCATATAGCACCCCAAAATGGACAAAAAGTTGCCGTATCTTTCACTTTTATGCTCGTATGTAATTAAATTCAAAGCCAACTTGTAGGTATAAAATAATTTCAAAGGCTCATACGGAACGAATAAGAATCTTAATAGTATTTACAGACATATAGAATTTACTTTTTGAGGTAAAATCTTTGTACACTGTTTGTTTCACCAAAAGTTTTACATGTTTTCTTTTTCCACTCCTTCGACGTCCATTTTGAATACGAGTTAACCGACCGATTAGCAAGTTAATCCACCTAGCGAGGAGGGTTAAATTTAACCCTTGTTTTAACCGAGGGTTAAGGATAACCTAGCTTTGAACAACGCAAAGTAATCTAGGGTTAAAATTTAACCCTAGGTTAGCGTTAACCGGCTTTTGAACAACCGGCCCCAGTTGTTGTTTTATAGGTAACCAGTTAAGCTGACGTATGGCAGGGCTTACCATAGAGATTATAAATAACACTAGAGGAGGCATTGTAATCTTAATTCAGTAAAAAAAGGGAACGCGACTATTGGGGGGCAAATTCAAGTCCCGGATGTGTATTCGTGTTCCCATTGGTGACGAGTTTCAAATCAGCCAATGAGAGCACGATTTTATATCCGGGACTTGAATTTGCCCCTCAATAGCTGCGTTCCCAATTTTTAAACTCGATGCCTCCTCTAGTGTTATTTATAATCTCTATGGGGCTTACGTGGTCGTACTTTTGTATGTTGCAAACGATTCTGCAGGCAAAATTTTGTACCTTTTGCAGTTTTTCTATGTTTTTGCCGCTCGTGTTGGCCCATACCGATGAACAGTACAAAAGTTTACTCATGACCAATGATGAAATAATCAGAAGTAGCGTTTTATGATCGAAACTGGTTTTGACCCGGTTGATCTGGCATAGTTTCGACATACAGGATGAAACAACTTTGGTAATGTGGTAGTCAAATGTGAGGTGGGTATCAAGAGTAACGCCCAAATCACTCGCTGACGTAACCGGTTTAATGACTTCTCCAAGAAAGGTCAGCGACATTTCCTTAGGGAGTCTCTGCAATAATTGTCGGGTTCCTATAAGGATAAATTTGGTTTTCGAGGGGTTAGGTAGTAGTTGGTTCGTAGAACACCAGTTGGCAACTCTTACAAGGTCTTCTTCTAGATTTATGAAAGCTTTTGAAGCAACTTTATCTAAGCTTTTGAAGTAAGATGGTATGACTAACACTGTCGAAAGCTTTAGAAAGGTCTAACAGGATGAGTGCTGACAACTTCTTCTTGTCCATAGCCTCCAAGATTTTATCACTGACCGATATGTTGAGTGTCTCTGTAGAGTGTTTTTTCCTGTTACCACTTTGGCGCGGGGAAAGGCGATTATTTTCCATTAGATAGCAACTGAACTGATCGAGAACTACCCTCTCACAAACGTTGGAGGCAACGTTGAGAAGCGAAAGGGGTCGGTTATTTGAAGGCACTTCGTGATCACCCTCTTTCAACAATGGTATTAATTCGGAGATTTTCCATGCATCTGGGAACTCAGTGGTGGTAAGCGAGCAGAGCCTGAAATAACGGCCGGCGGCCGGCGGTTTTCCGACCAAATTCCGATTTTTCCGACCAAATGCTGAATTGATCGGAAATTTTGTCCGGCCAAATTTTGAGAAAAAGAAAAATGTTTTCTTAATGATCGGGTCGGCGCTCAGCACAGTGAGTACCATCTGTAAGTTTGGATTATCTATATTAGGCTAATATAAAGTAATCAACTGGAAAGTATAGTTCACGGGCAGCCTAGTCCCTGACCTCCAAGCGCGGGCGAGTCACAGGCTGTCGTGAACTTGCGGGCTGTCAGTTTCCCCAGTCTCCAAATAATACAGCTTTATCACGGTCAACCTGCAAACCTTATCAATTTCCCCCTAAAATAATGAGGCGGAAGCGAGGCCAGGAACTAGGCTGGTTCACGGGCTCAATAAACAAGAAGGTGGCTTACAGCGTGGTGTTGTCGTGAAAATGTGAGGTGAGTCTTAATAATTTGCAATTTAAATCACCCGTCAATCAATTTAAAACACCCGTCGGCTCACGACCATTTTGAATTTTCGCTACAGTTACAATTACCTTACACAATTGCAAGTAGAGTGATTTACTCAGTGCACGTCTGCATGCTTGACAGAGTTTGCTCATTGGGGGGGGGGGAGTGGACTTTGTCAAACTAAACTAAAAAAAATTCCGGTCAATTTTGCAAATTTCCGGTCAAATTTCGTTTTGATCGGAAGTTTTTCCGGACAAATTTTAAAATTATTTCAGGCTCTGAGCGAGCGGTTTATTATGCTGGTTTAGGGTTCCAAGATAACATGGAGACAGTCTTTGATAACACGCATGTTAATTTTATCTGGACCGGGGGATTTATTTGAAGGCATGGAGACTATAATAGCGCGAACCGTTGCGCTCGAGACTAGCCTGAGGTTGAACTGGTTTTCTGCGACAACTATGGTAGGTATGGGTGTAAAATTTGATAAAACATTTCCATCGTGCACATCTGCTAGGCGCAGGGCTTCTTTAGCGGTGTTGCGATCGACGGAGGAAAAATACTGATTGAATTATTCTGCTACAAGGTGTCGGTCTTTACTTAACCTGAAGTTCAGGCCCTATCACAGAATAGGGCCTGACACAAAACCTATCTAAACCGTGGGATTCCCGTCCATCTGGTGGACGGGAAATCTGATTGGTTGATCAGCATCATGAAAGATTTTGATTGGTTGGAAGTTCACATAAACAATATTTTGTAAATTGCTAGGTCAATGTGGCAAGGTCAAACGCATGTATCAAATTGCATTGTGATTAATATCGTAATAGTATTGTCGAATTTCTTCGAATTTCTTTTGTTTAATATGCTTTATGGCAGAAAATAAATCAAACACACAGTATTTTGAAAGGGCTTTATCAAAATCTTTGACGAAGTTTGGACACACGACGCTTAAAGAACAGCAAAAGTCGTGCACATTCGAAAGCTTGTTGTTGACAGCCAAGGCCCAAGATGTCTAATGTCTTTGCCGTTCTGCCAACTCTGGCTTCGATGAAAGTCTTATTTTAATATCAGGTCTTACCAGCGTTCTTTTCTGAGCCATATCGCCTTCGTCATGGTACGATAAAGAATTTCGTTATTGCTGTTGTTATCCCGTTAGAAATTGTATATCCGCGTCCAGCAAGTTGAGACCTTGAGAAAGCTTGGCAGTCAAGCCGTTTGTTTAGATCCCTCGTTTAATGATGAAACAAATGATTTTAGCGTATTTTCTTGATGCACTTTAATTCCAATTGCGGAAAGTAGATCGCAGAGAACAAAACTATTTGCATATATTTTAATATACTGTGAAATAGTACCGTGTTTAAATAAAGTTGAAGTTGAATTCAGTCCTTGCACTGTTGCAAAGAACAGACTAAATCTTTGTTTGCTCTGGTTAAATTAAATGGAGAAACTGAACTCTTAAAAGTACCTTGGATTTTTAAGTTTAAAATGCACACTCTGCGGACATGTTCATGAGAATATAACATGAAATTAATATCTTTATATTTTCCCTCTGATATTTTTCGTGCAATGAAATCTATAACACATAACAGTCACATGTGTCAATCATATTGTATGATTGTGTCTAAAAATAACATGTGGGCGTCCCACGGTTTAGATAGGTTTTGTGTCAGGCCCTATTTCAAATTAGGGCCTGAACTTCAGGTTAGTCTTTACTATAAACTTGAAGCTCTTTGTCTTTGGAAGGGATAACGCCACTGATAATTTTCCACAGCGAGCTGGGATTGTCCCCGTGTTGTTAAACTTCAGACGATATGTAATTTCTTTCCGCATCCTCTAAAATGACCTTTATTTCTTTGCGAGAATTTTTGTAATTTTGACAGTCACTGGGGTCGCGAGATTGCAGGAATCTCCGATGTAGATTGTTCCTCCTCTTCATGAGCTGTTTGATTTCTAAAGTGACATACGGGCAAGGTCGACTGCGAATCTTTATGGTTCTGATGGGAGCGTGAACGTCGAGGACTGAGCTGATTACGTCATTAAAGCTAGAGAGCATGGAGTTTATGTCCATGTATGATGGAGTGAATAGCCCCGACGAGTTGATGGAAAGGTCTGCCGCAAAGGCTTCTGGGTCATAGGTCCTGAAACTGCGTACCGTAATGTAGATAGGTAGAGGCGTGGGTGGTTACAACTTAAATACGGCATAAACTGGGAGACGGTCACTGATTGGGTTGTTAATAACGCCACTTTTGTATACAAGTGTGGGACAGGAGACCAGAATCACATCGATGAGTGACTGAGAGGTGTCTGTTATTCTGGTTGGAGCGTTGATGATCTGTGTGAGATTAAGTTCAACTGAGATATCAAATAGTGCTTTACTGTGAGGACCATTCTCCAAGGTATTACAATTTAGGTCACCGATAACTATGATTGGTTTACTAAATACGAGGGCTTTGGTGTAGCATGGCTTCAGATGGTCTTCGAAACAGGACAGAGGATAATCAGGGGGTCTGTAAGATACACATATCATGAGAGATTTCAGCTTCTCAGATTGCAGCTTTAACCAGAGTTGATGGAATAAAGGAATACCGAATGGTTTTCCATGCAGGATTGCGTGATCCATGCACGAGGGATGTCGCGAGACTTACGGAAAGCGTAAAAATACTCGAGCCGCAGGCGAGTGTATTTGTACGCTTTCCGAAAGTCGAGCAACATCCCAAGTGCATGGATCACGCTATCCTGCTTGGAAAACCATTTGGTAATTGTTTTATAACTAATAACTACAGTGAAACAATGACATTTTGAAAATCCCGCGAAGGCATTTTAATTCCTCGTGCAGGATAGTCTGATCCTGCACGGCTATTGACCAATCAAATTGCGTGTTTCACTGTAGTTATTATATAAACTGTTTTCGGATACACTAGAAAGTTCTTTCATCTTAGATGCTTTAATGCCCTGGCGAATGTAAGCGCACACACCTCCGCCTGTCTTATACAGTCGTCACCTCCGCCTGTCTTGACTGATCGAGCGCTCTTCGCATGCGTGAAAAGACTGGGACTGGCCTTCGAGTTTGGCTTCAAATTTCCGTTTTGGAATAACATTAGTTTTATATCTACTGTACTCTGCAGCTTACTCTATCCAGCAAGCTCCATTTTTTATCATTTGCTAGTCAATAGCTTGCTCTCCCATTATTCTCAACTATCTTAATATATATGTACAGTAGCCATGATACAGTAGGAAAATTTCTATAAATTTAGGTTGTTTGGTAAAACAAGTAACACCAATGGCAAAATGTTTAACCATGCATTTATTAACTGATGATTATCTTGAGTAAATGGATTACTCACTAGCCAAACGCATACAGTGAGACGAGATGACTGAACTAAAGGGTTAATTTAAGAAAATTAAACGTTCGAAGGAGTCATCCATTTTAAAATGTCAACATTTTAGAGTGCATGATCAGGGAGAGGAGTTGGGACTTGTAAAAAGAGGGCCTTTTGCATATATCAAACGTACATATATTGATAAGGATTGTGCAATCCGACGGCATCTGTCAAAAAGTGTGTTCTAAAGTCTCTGCAATGAGTACACAGACTGTCCACAACATGCATATGGTGGGAAATGCACTAGTTCTTGCGATAGGGCACCCTACTATACAGTTTCATTTGTAGCTCAATCTGTATACTCAACAAGATAATCCCCATGGCAAATAGTTGATGACGATGTACTGCAATAAACATACCTGTTTTTCAAAAACAGTTTCCTGAACTTCTGGTGGAGAATAATTTCTGTTGAGATCTAGACCAACTTCACCAACTGCAACCACTTCAGGAAGTTGTACCAACTCTTCCAATTCCTACAATTACATGGTATAGAGATATTATATAGTACTGCTGTCCTACGAGTACTACAGTCACACGCTTGTCAACCTCAGTTAATACACTCTAGTCTACACCATTTCAGCCCGCCATTGTAAAATGATATTATATGAAAACACGTGTATTAATTCATAATTCATGCAGGGAGCAAATCATATTGTAATAACAAGTGCTTGAAATGTAACAGCAATTTGGTTATTACTTCTCTAAATGTTGGATAAAATAAGTAAGAACATGTACCATCATGAATATAAATATAGATTTTTATAATCTATAAACAGCTATAAACGATCAGTTGACCGAACGTCACGAAGCTCTAGAAAACGTAATAAAAAATCATTTGCAAGCTCCCCCCGGATTGTTTACACTATAGATCCATCGATCGGTCACTGAATTGAATATCTCATAACAATAGTGCAAAGCAACTTTGCACTAAAAACGATTCGTAATTGTATAGCGTACATAACTGAGATGTACTGTATTATGGTAGTGTATGACATTGATTATTTAATTTGAATGAACACTTTTAAGTGTTTTAAAAACAACAAGTGCAATTGTGAAGATGGTCTCATCATGATCTACATAAAACAGACACCTCTCTTAATCGTCGGATTGATACGTCAAACCTTCGGCCTTCGCTCAAAACGTCGACGTTCTTGTTGTATTTTTCATATAGTTAGGCGTAAAAAAAAATACCTGTGGTTCCGGTTCCCGACCGACCATATTTTTTTCTGCCGACCCTATTATTTTTTCAACGCGATTGACCGTGCGACCCTATTTTCCCCGCGTGGTTGCGGGCTGCTGCCAAAATGGCGTCTGTTGTCACACTAATTATTGAAAAAACCATGAAAAAAATATTCAAAAAATAATTATTTCCGACCTACCGACCCTAATTTTTTCGCGATATGAAACCGGAACCACAGGTATTTTCTTTTACGCCTTGTATCCCTATCAATCCGAATCTTTCTTATTATTGGCACTATACCTACACTGGTACAGACAGTTCAAGACCTATCTAAAAATCATCTAATACAGACACTTTGCTGTGCCGTTGTTGTGCCCAGAGTAGAGGTTAAACAGTATCAATCATTTCACGATACATACAATGAAAAAGCATTTAAGCCAGGTCCATACAAGAAAATTTTCTATGACAACAGTGCCCTCACCTCAGTTATTTTTGTGCGAATTACGTACCGCTGTTCAAAGCAACTTGTGGCGTAATGACCAGCAATTATTTGCTGTCTCATCCAGATGAGCAAGTATACTTGTCATGGAAAAATTGTCACAGAAAGTCTACTCGTGTAGACAGGACTTTAACAGCATCTAAAATGACTATACCTTAAGGGAGTTATCACTCCATTCTTTCTGTGACCAATGTGGATGAACACCAACAGCTGCATACAGGAAACCTGGACGAGTCTTGCTGAGAGAGACAGCCACACGGCTTTTCTTTAACGTATTTCCAGTGACAACCATTTTAAATATGCCTGCACTTAGAGCTCGAGCAATCACATAATCTGTGTCATTTGCAAACCTATTGTGAACAATTGTGAACATTGTTACAAGACAGACTTTCAATGAAAATTAGCTAGTGCAGTAATAAAGTAAAATAACATTAGTCTGCGGCTTAAATAGTCTGTTTAATCACGTTACAACTGCTTTAGTTGTCAATGAAGAAGCAACAAATTATCACCTACAGTACGGTCAAGAAATAACTTATCAAAAACCGCGTCCAAGACGCGGGTATCTTACGTCCTTACGGGCTCCTACATGTATGGGTGCGTGCATCCTGCGCCCGCTTTGCGGCCGAGTGTGAGACATTTCATTTCGGAGATCGCCGGGAAATATCGTACTTCTGAGGTCTTCTCATAATAAAACGGATTCGTACAATATCTTAACGTGTTATACATTTCTATGGGAAATCTATTACTTTTTATCAAATAATTAAAATATCAATTCTCAGCCTATCTGTGCGTAGGAAAGTGAAACAGTTCAAAATCGCCACGCGCGATGAACTTCAGTGCCAACCTGTTCCAACAAAAGCCGAGTTTAGCTAAATATCGCCAATCTGTACTTGCATACAGTATGCGAAAATCATAATGTAGAAAATGCGAGTTCAAATTAAGCCAAATAAGTGATATGGTGCATGAAGATCTTATAGCGATGTTCGTTTCACAACACTTTAAACAGCATTCGAGTAACATTGTTGTTGTTCTTTGTTGCTGCAGAGTGCAATGATAAGTATATATACATCGATTTTCCCGCCTGCAAGGTTTCAGCTAATTCAATGTTTTATTATTACTGTGCCGTGGGCGATGCAGGCAAAATGCATATGTATAAAGGTAGCATCACTAAATGTGTGTACGGGGACTTAGCAATGTTCCACGCAGGTAGGCAAAATAATCTGCGTGGTTAAACAGTCAAGTTTGTGTTTTCAATTCTAGAGTAGTATTCACAGGTAAGACTAAGACGCGTGTATTATAGCAAGAACGACAACGTGCTTAATTTTAAATGAGTAAATATCAAGATTTTGCTGGCACTTCACTCGATTGAATAATATAGTTGGAATGTTTTGTAGATGAAAATCCTCGAGTGGAAATTCTATACATACTGTACATTTATTAAATTAATTTTAAATGCAAGATATAAACATGAATTCGACAATAACATTATACGTAACAATACTGCAGTTTTAATTTTTTAGCAAATCTAATTTGTTTAGGTTGGATACAAACTGATTTTCGGGTTCAATATTTCACTCATTGGCTGATTAGTGATGCGATCTGTGTTTCCGCGATCATCTACAGTACAAGTATGCAAATATGTCGTTTGTTTTTCCGACCACTGTGACTGCGGGTGTCTTTGCTGACCAGCAGACGCGGGTGTCTTTGCTGGAGGCTGTGCTCTACGCGGGCAGATATAGTGTTAAGGGACCGGTCATTATTTATGGCCAGGGGGGCCCCGAAGAGAAAATGGGTGCGTAAATTTTATTGGTGGAAATGGGTGGGTTGAATAAAAATTCACCAAGTCAAGGGGTGGGTAAAGTAAAAATCATTAAGTCGGAAAATACTAAAATACCACAGAAAGATGTTGTATTAAATAGAACAAAATAACAAGAATTTTCAATAGGAAATGTTACTATAAAATATCAAAAACAAAGTCAAAGAACTATTAAATGTAATTTCAGTCACTGTATGGCATAACAGTCACCTCATGGTGAACTGCCTCATCTCCGTGCAAGTCTTCTCTTTTCGACATGTGCAACTGAGGTTGACGTAACTGATCATGAAACATCTAATTCAAGGTATTATTTGTTTTATTAAGATCGAATAAATATCATTTACTTATATCGATTTGCAAAGTATTCCATTTGAACCTGCCATAACAGTCATGATAAAGTGACAGAGTTCATACTTGTTGGCTTTTTTGTTCTCTCAAAAACTCAAATAAGTCAATTTAACTTTTAAATAAGAGTGCTGGGGTTGGGTGGAGAAAAACAATTTTTGGGTCACTAAAAAATTTGGCCAAGAAAATGTTTCTCCTCAGTGCCCCCAGCTATTTCATGGCAGTACTGTATATGTAAATGAAGTGGTGAAAATATAAATTTTTCAGAAAAGCTATTTTTTTAAAAAAGTTGGAAAAGGAAGACATGTTTCTCTTTTTGTATCTAAGTAAATGTTTGTAAACATTATTCTTACTGTATGTTTGGTAACAAATATTGGCACTCACATTTGATTGGTTAAATTAACAACATCAATGGCGTGTAGCAACTCTTTCGGAGGAACAACGAGGGGTTTGAGAAACTGTGAATGTTGGTCATAATTTTCACGATTGAACCCATAATTAAAGACTCTTCTTTGGTTATTTGGACCTCGATTATATAGACGACCATTTGTTCTTTGTGTTTGAGATGGAGACCTAGCTTTAGCGATCTCTACTTTGATTTTTTTACTGTTCAATTCTGTTCCATCAAAGCCTATTACATGGTCGCCAAATGCCTCAGGGACAAAGAGGAAGGCATATCCTTTACGAGAAGGCAGTTCTATTTTAACTGCCGATTTGAGATACGGTGTTGCATCTAATGCAAAATGTTGAGTGATATCTTCCTTTGTCACATCAGGAGAGAGGTTGCCTTGAAAATGAAAAAGAGTGTTATATTCTACAAAATGAGGCATAAAAAAGCAGAAAATGTTTTCTCACATACTACTATAGGCTCAATCCTTTCAAATCTCATGGTAGTATCATCACAGTTAATTTTGACAAATACTTCAGTCCCTGTACCATGTCAATAGATACCATTAGGTCTCAGAGGTTTAGTTTCTTTGCTGTGTTTTTAAAAACCTTTGGTTGAAATAAGCAATTCATTGATCACACACTGCACCACACACTGCACCAATTGGTTTGTACTAGAGTCACAGACTCATCCCTGTTACAATGTTGTAGTTATTATTTTTATGCAATTATTTGCTTAGTTATATTTAACATTGCAATAAGTCACATGAGGCACATAGTGCAACATTAATATTACGTTTATTGATCTATGATAAAATTGCCTGCCTAGGGATGAAATTGGTAGCTATGCTAGTTGGGTCAGCAAAAATAATCATGCACCATCACCAGTACAGTACTGCCAAGAAATAACTTATCAAAAACCGCGTCCAAGACGCGGGTATCTTGCGTCCACTGTGCGTCCACGGGCGCCCGCGGGTGCGTCCGTCCTGCGGGCGCCGTGCGTCCACTGTGCGTCTGCGGGCGCTTGCGGGTGCGTCCACTGTGCGGGCGCCATGCGTCCGCTTTGCGTCCGCGGGCCGAGGACGCAGCTGAGAAAGAGTTCTCTTCGTACATCGTCGGAAATTATCGCTTTTCATGAACGTTGGCGTCGGAAAATATTCATGTTAGCGATTTCACACCACGTTTTTATGCTTATACACAAGCGTTACAGACCTAGATTTTTATATCTGTAATATTAAACTTACCGTGAATTTTCAGAATTTGTGCTTCGTAAAGTTCCTTTTCGTATTTGATCTCTACTTCCGCACCTTCGTATAACGTTTGGTTTAAACCCAGTATTCTTTTGATGCACGTATGGTTTAATATCTTCTTCGAAGAAACCCAACATACGTTTTCCCGGGTTGACGAGTAAGCGATCGATACCTCATTTTATTAGTCTGACAGTAATACGGATCGAGTGATATTAGTCTGAGCTCTTCACTTCAGCGTTAGCGAATTTTACTGCAACTCTGAAAATCAAGTGATGAGTCACAGTCATTGAACCGTGTTGAAACACAAAGACTGTTTCCTGGACATGTAAAGGTATTCCATTAAGGGATTAAGAGAAGTAATTTATCCAGAAATTATATGGTAATTATCAATTTATATGACATATCACCATGTGCATTTACTTTGTTTTGGAAAAACAACAAGAACTTGTTGCTGTAAATAAAGTTATATAGTGGCTCGTAGTAATCATGGTATTTTATATGAAAAATCAAAACCACTATATATACTGTAAATGAGCGAGCGTCTTCGTTTTAATATACTGACGAGTTACGGAGACATAACATTATTCAAATACAGAATTGCATATCAACTAATCGTCAATCTTCTACGAGGTAAGTCAGAATTTGAGTAGCAAATGAATGTGTTGCGAGATATATACTCGTTGTAGTCGTGATCTCCCTGAGTTTAGTATATGTGTCTACATTATATATAGTTTATGTCTATTTTACGCTCCAATATACAGTCATATACGCTTCAATCGCCACTCAAGTACGTGTGATTGCATTGTGAAAGCACTACGCTTACTGTAGTATAACGTATAACATTATAACATAGGTATATTAAATGTAACGCTTAGGTTCAATGAGACTCGTTTTCGGATTCAACTTTTTATTCTTTGCTTCTCCGATCAGTGACACGGATCTGTATTCTCACGACAAGCTACGAGTATGATGCAAATATTAGTTCGTTTTTCCGATTATGTTACGACGACTGCGTCCAGGCGGACGCAGTTTTTAGCTGGAGGCCGGACGCGGGCGCTTTGGAGGCAGGACGCGGGTAGAGCAGACGCAAGACGCGGGCGCCGTGGAGGCCGGACGCGGGCGCTCTGGAGGCAGGACGCGGGCAGAGTGGACGCAAGACGCGGACGCTCTGGAGGCAGGACGCGGGGACAAGTTATTCTTGGCAGTACTGTATAGGAATTACTATAATCCCTACCCGTCGTACCCGACCAAAAGGAAACAAAGCTACGCTAATAGTAATTACCGGAAACCAATCATTAGGGTAACCGGATTTGGACATCGACACCATCAACCTCCAGCAATACATATGGAGGCGGGCTATGCAAAATGGGTGAAAGAAACCTAGGTGGGACATTTGAAGCAACAGCTTGCAATGCTAGTATTTAATACATACTGGAAGGGAATCTTTAAACCATGTTAACTTCCTTTTATTGTGCCAATAAAATACATATTATGCATGATTTATAAGTAGATTATCTATTTATCTAAATTTGTACACCGCACCCTAATGTGCCCAACTATATTATTTTACTCCTTCTAACACCAGAAAATATTTTACTTGTCATGGGAAGAGTAGTGATTGAACAATAATCGGTATCAGACTGATTTTTGCCTTATCGGTAGACAATCAGAACTGGTAGAATTATCTGTATTTCCGATTATGTAAAACCAATTGTTGAGAAAATATATGCTTTAAAATTATATACATTGTGCATAATTCATTTGACACATGTTGTGTTTTAAAGCCTGATGTGTTGCAGCGACAAAATTAATGCGTAAAGGGTGCCATTTATAAACAGTTTTGGTTGCAGTAACATGTTACATTGGAAATTATCATTGTGAATGGTATTACTGACATTATGATGCCATTATAAAATCAGTATCAGGTATATTTTTGCATGAATAATTGGTAATCTGTAATTTCCGATTGTGACACAATCAGAAGGGGAAAGTGCTGCCATTTGATGGGTAGTTCGAGTATATATCACTATATCGGGCCATATTTCCCTTGAAAGAGGGCCTGACACAAATCTCTGTCTGGCCGCATGGAAAAAAGCAAAAATCTCGCTTTTTGCTTGATTGGTCTCCATCAGACAAAAAAATTTTAATGTATTTTTGATTGATCAGAACTACAGTACTGCCAAGAAATAACTTGTCCACTCTGCCTGCGTCCTGCCTCTAGAGCGCCCGCGTCCGGCCCCCATGATGCCTGCATCCGGCCTCTAGTTAAAAACTGCGTCTGGCCTCTAGTTAAAAACTGTGTCCGCTTGGACGCAGTCATCGTAACATAATTGGAAGAACGGACTTAAGTAAATATTTGCATCATACTCGTAGTTTGTTGTGAGAATACAGGATAAGTGTCACTGATCGGAGAAGCAAAGAATAAAAAGTTCAATCCGAAAATGAGTTTCATTGAACCTAAGCATTACATTTAGTATAACCATTTTATAATGTTATATTGTTATACTAAATGTAATGCTTTCACATATTGGAGCGTAAAATATGTTAGACATAAACTATATATAAATATAATGTAGACACATATACTAAACTCAGTGAGATCACAACTACAACAAGTATATATCTTGCAACACATTCATTTGCTACTCAAATTCTGACTTCAGTACCTCGTAGAAGATTGCCAATTAGTTGATATGCAATTCTGTATTTGAGTAATGTTATGTCTCTGTAACTCGTCAGTATATTAAAATGAAGATGCTCATTAGAATATATAGTGCTTTTGATTTTTCATATAAAATACCATTACTAAAAGCCACTATATAACTTTATTTACAGCACCAAGTTTTTGTTGTTTTTCCAAAACAAAGTAAATGCACATGGTGATGTCATATAAATTGATAATTACCAGATAATTTATGGATAAATTACTTCTCTTAATCCCTTAATGGAATACCTTTACATGTCCAGGAAACAGTCTTTGTGTTTCAACACGGTTCAATGACTGTGACTCATCGCTTGATTTCCAAAGTTGCAGTATAATTTGCTAAAGCCGAAGTGAAGAGCTCAGACTAATATCACTCGATCCGTATCACTACAGTATCAGACTAATAAAATGAGGTATCGATCGCTTACTCGTCAACCAAAACGTATGTTTGTTTTTTTCAAAGAAGATATAAAACCATGTGCATTTTGTCAACTGACAACGTTAAAAGAATACTGGGTTTAAACCAAACATTATACAAAGGTGCAAAAGTAGAGGTCAAATATGGAAAGGAACTTTACGATGCACAAATTCTGAAACTTCACGATAAGTTTAATATTAGAAATATAAAAATATAGGTCTGCATCGCTTGTGTATAAAAACGTGGTGTGAAATCAATAGCATGATTTTTTTCCGATGCCCACAGTTTGTTTATGAAAAGCGAAACGCGATAATTTCCAACGATCTACGATGAGAACTCTTTCTCAGCTGCGTCCTCACCCACAGACGCAAAGCGGGCACACCCGCCCACAAATGCACAGTGGACGCACGGTGGACGCACGGTGGACGTGCGATGCCCGCAGGACGGACGCACCCGCGTGGACGCACAGTGGACGCAAGATACCCGCGTCTTGGATGTGGTTTTTGATAAGTTGTTTCTTGGCAGTACTGTAATACACGCTTCCAGAAAGTATGTCACCTTGGCTATAGAGCCTTGTTTTTGTGTACGTGACATTAGTTAAAGCCAAGTGCTGCAATCGCTAGAACAAGGCTTTATAGCCAAGGTGACACACTTTCCGGAAGCATGTATTACATTATACAATTGTTCATGATAGATTTAGCAATTTTAACTATATAATTACATTGTTGTTGTTATACTAAATATTAGATACTAAATATCAACATTACTTTGGGCATTGAGTGACCAGATTAAGATTTCTGTTAGGCTCTAGTTGTAAAATAGAGCCTGATACTCAGGGTATAGGCTGTGACGAATGAGATTTAGACTTTTACTCAATGGACAACAACCCCATCTCAATATGATTGTACCAGGAAAGTAATCACTGCATCTCATTAGCTGATGAATTATATTGTCACATGTGAAGTATGTTCTGATATTTGAGTGAGCCTAGTGGCACTTCCAATCAAAATTTCTTTCTCACAAAGAGTGATAAATATGTACAAGGAAAGTAAATTTTTGAACCATTGCAACCAGGTTACTCCACAATATTGCACAATTTTACAACTTAGAAACATTAACTTTCAATTGTCACAGCGACTGAATGGCAGACATCCTGTAATATACAAAGTCAGGGGAAAATGTCCATCTTCCTAAAATGCCGAACTTGTCTTCCGCCCATATAATATAAACTCTCAAAATATGGCGGGTATCTTTAGTCTATTTACATCACGACAAGTAAATATCGTAAAGTGATCACAACAACTTTTAAGTAAAGAAAATAATATAAATACGAAATATATACCAATATAAATCTTCTTATTGGCAGCAGCAGCTGTTTGTTGAGCAACATCCAACATAATTTAGCGATTTTAAACGAGCTTTTCTCTAACACGTGTGAGCTAAAATGCTAAATGATAAATCGCAGCAACTTGTTCTTGTCAAAAGCTATTCTTAATTTCCGAAGGTGATACGAACCAATACCGTATATGTGCCGATCGGTGCCGAACAGATACCCGAGTCTGTGCACATTCTGCACAGCTGATTTATAAGAACCTTTATAATACTTTATGTATTTCACTATATTTGTAACTAGTGGAAGAGTGGAATAGAGAAAACATGAAAATAAAGAATAAAGAGAAATAAGATAAAGAATTAAAAGAAAGGATGCCTGTAATTAAGCTGAAGCATATCGTTTCATTTTCGAGTGAAGACCCGGTAAGTAGCATGAGTCATGAGTGATCATGAGTCATGTTTAATGGCAATTTGGTCATTGGTGGCCAGTGGCCACTGTTTTATATAGTCTTCTGTCTGTTTTGCTGTTTATGCATGAGTCAATTCCTGGACTAACCATCCCCCCCCCCCGGGACACCCCCGGGAATTTGCCCGATAGACGGTTCACGGGGGTCGGGAATTTGCCTTTCATATATGTGCACGGGGGCCGGGTATTGGAGGACCCCGGGGATTTGACAAATGGTTGACCAAAATCCCACCCACAAATTTTAAGGCAGCAAAACCTAGTTTTGCTGCCTTTTTTGTAAAATCGTCCCCGGGGTGGGGCATTTTCCACTCTCAGCTTGCCCAGGGGCCGTGCATTAGTCTTCAAGTTGTGTCCCGGCACCCGGGCATTTGCACTATCATAACCAATCTAATCAAATGTCCGGGTGTGTTCCCGGGGGGGGGGGGGATGGTTACTCCTGGAATTGACTCATGCATTATATCTAACTTTATTTTAAATAATGCCCAATATGTCTTTATATCTACAGTCTGTTGGATTGCCTCATGATAATTTTTCGTTGATTAAGTATGCTGAAAACTGTTACATGTGTATAGAATTTACAGTATCAATAGCAATAAAACAAAATATGTTACATACTGTGACACACACTTTGCCAGACTGGAATCTTTGTAGTATGCGGGGAAGATCTTCTCAGTGCCATTTTTTGTAAGATCAACTGCATCCGTGCAAAAACTATAAAACTGTGCGCCATGTACATAGGATGAACTGACAACCTTGAAAGGCCGTCTAATAGTGCAAATATTGGATCTTCTTTAATTAAAATATATCCGTGCTCAAAAATATTGTTGATTTTTCTTCTCTGCACCATTTGTTATATTCCAGTCTGGACACTTTGCATGTTACATTATTTTACATACAGTACTGCCAGAGTGTTAGCCAGGCAGCCGTCCGACCGTCCTATGGACGGCCACTTCTGAATTTGGATGGCTAAATTTTAATGGACGGCCATGGACGGCCTAAGGGAATATTTTCTTTAAATAGCAACCTACAAGGTTTCTCGCCATATTTTTGTAAAACGTGCCATGTTGTTGTAACCATTTTGATGATTCTCGCATGAAATATCAAGGAGAATAACGTGAAACCGTTGTTTTAAAAAACAGCAATCGCTTTATCGCTCGAGCGCCACGTTACAGTTACAGTAGTGATCATACCATACGTGTGCTTTTACTAATTTAATGACGGAAGCATCTAAAACTAAAAGTAGAAAGGTTCAACGAATAAAACACCACAATTCCTCAACAACAGAAAATTGCGGCCACACCCAAAAACATGTGACCACACCCACAAAAATATGTTGCCACACCCACAAAATTATTTTGGACAGCCACTTTTGAAATCCTGGCTAACACCCTGAGTACTGCTCAGAACTGTGTTCTCGTTCCGAACACATTTGGAACACGGTTGGAACACGTTCCAGAGTAAACTTGGAAACGAGTTCCCCACTTTGGTTAAAAACCGTGTTCTCGCATCGGAAAATTCCGACACCGAATGAAACCTGAGTTACTATAGGGTTTGACAGTTGACAACTGTGGACAATTATTTTAAGTTTCATCCCGGGCTGAAATTCCAGCCCGGTTTGGCCCAGACTGAAACTCGACACAGTCCTGGCAGCATGTAATCGCAAATAATTTGAAAAATCATTTTAATGGCTTTGTTTTGTGTGTTTGTTTCAACTGTATATGTAACCACAATCTCACACAAGTCAAATAGCCAAAAATGCTTCAAATCATATCATTTCAACCTGAGCTAGAAAGGTCTGTGCTGTGCACAGGCTACATATTTTCAGCTGGCGGTTTAACAACATAGGCTGAAAATAGCTCTCATGATTATATAAAACTCAGCCGGCTCAAACTGCCCATGCATTTATTCCTGCTCATATGGCCACATCTACAGTAAATCGCGATCAACCGGGCTGAAACTAGCATATCTTGTAGCATACTTACTACTAACTACATTTTTATTTTAAATTGTTGGCTTGTAATTAAGGCATTTAATACCATGGACTGGTCACCTTCCACTGCCCCACCACTGATGAAAAAAAAAGGCCTATTGCCCCAAAGCCAGGGCCGTAGGAACTGTATTGAGTAAATGAGTTTAACATTGAAAAGAAGTTTAAAAAACAAAATTTGTTGGTGAGCATATTTAAACTTATGTTGTGTTTCAATGTTTAGCGTGCAATTTATTACAAATCTCACCATTAACTTAAAACTTTGTTTTGAGAAGCTGAGATTTTTTTAAATATGTTCTCGATCAGAATGCAGGAAATGCTATTTCAGAGACCCAAATTTTAAAAATTTCCTGGGGGGGCATACCCCAGACCCCCCTAGCTAACTCGTGCCTGCGGTACTCGGCTCCCACCTTTGGCAATCACATACTATCCTGAGGGGGAATGGGCCCTTGGGCAGTTTTGTCCCACCATTGAAGAATCCTTAAAAATGCACTGTTGGTTTGTGAATTGCTTTTTTTAAGTCATTACACATGATTATAAGTATTAACAATTAGTCAACAATGACAACACACTAGTGTCTGTGATATTTGGACCTCCTTTCCTAAACAAATTTAATATGTCAATTTGCTGACATCCCGGGTTGATTCTATATATTAAGTGCATGCTTGCAATATGCATTTACTAACAATCGTGTCAACTTATGATGATGTTTTCCTTACTGTGGCACCGAACCATATAAAAATTATACTACAGATTAAACATGCATATCACTGCCCAATAGGTAATAAACAATTGCTCACCTACATTTGCATGTTACATTTATATACTGCTTCATTGTAGTACATATACCTATACACACATGCCTACATGGTGTTAGTGTTACAAACTGTTACATATTGTTACATAATATTATATATTGTTACATTAAGTAAGTCCTGGAAAATACAGTATTAACTTGTAATCCAGACTACATAGATGGTCAACATACTGTAGCACCCATTTGGTCCCATTCAACACAGTATGTGTTTTCAGTAGGGTCCTGCTAAATTATAGAAAACTTACAAGGATGATTAAATATATTAGTAGTACAATATAGAAACTAGACTAAGAAATAACCTATTTCAGTAGAATTTTAAAGGTTTGTAGGTCTTTTGCTTGACGAGTCAAGGTTTTGGGTTTTCTTTGACCTAGTGTTATAAGCATGCATATCATGGTGATATGTGATTTCAAAGTTGAAAGAAAAAAGATTATTCTTACATTTATAAGTAAATACAGTAACAAACGATTAATAATCCTCCTAGTTTTTAAGTCTTTCCAATTCAATTTCTTCAAAGCAGAACTGGCGGACGATCTATAATCCAGGTCCAGGATTATACGTGCTGCTTTATTCTGTAGGATTTGTAGATCTGTCATTAGGGTTTCATTCCCCCGATCTCCCCATCATAGTCAAGATTTGGCAGAACATAGGAATTGTAAAATAATATTCTATTTATTTATTTATTTATTTATTTATTTATTTATTAACTTTACAACCATACATAAAATAGACTAAATCACTACATAATATGGTTGAAGGTATGGTCAACAGGACATGAATAGCCCCATGTGAAGACCAACCGTAATGAAAACAAACTATAACAAACATAAATCAAAGACGATAACAAATATATAATTTACAGAAAACATGACGAATTACGAACAACAGCTTAAGTTGAAAGAGCGGCACTTAGAACAGAAGGTTTTCCAAGTGCGCATTCTGTTTACATCGAAAGATAAATGAAGTAGAGAAGAGTAATGAACAGTTAGTCTGTTTTTAAAGGAGGAAACGGATGAACTATTACGAATTGTGGGAGAGAGATTATTCCAGAGAAAGACAATTCGGTTGAAAAAAGAGTTTCTAAAGAGAGAAGTCCTGCAATGATTGACACGAAGCAAGTTGTCTGAACTTGAACGGGTGTGAGACGAGCTGTCTGAAGAAAAAGTGACGAAAGAGGAGATATCTAGGTCGAAGAGACCGTGCTTACATTTAAAAAAGAAGACGAGATCCTTTAGTTCCATCCAGTAGGATATTGGTAATAGATTAAGCTTTTTAAGGCGTTCAGGATATGGCAACTCATAATCCTGAAGGATAAATTTACTAGCTCGTCTTTGAACACCCTCGATGATCGCAAGATCACGTGACGATCCTTGAGGTGCCCAAATCTCACTAACGTATGACAGATGAGATCGGACGAGAGCAAGATAAAGAAGCCTACGGCAGCGAATATCAGACATTTGCGTACAATTCTTACGAAGAAAACCAAGCATACGATTGGCTTTTGCAGTGCAGCTGGCGATGTGAGGAGACCACTTTAGGTCATTGCTGATAACAACACCCAAGTCTACTTGGTTAGCTATGCTCTTAACTGGATCGTTGTTAAGAAAGTAGCAATGAGTTGGAGGATTACGTTTGCGAGATATCCTAAGTAGGAGCGTCTTCGAGACATTAAATTTCATTTTCCAGTTAAGTGACCAGTTGGACATAGCGTCCAGGTCGAGCTGAAGCAGACCACGATCAACTGGTGATCGTATAGCACGATAACACTTGCTCTTATTCTACTATGTAACGGTAAATAGTTTTTAATACGTTTAAGCAGTCCCAACTTGCTTAAACGCATTAAAAACTATTTACCGTTACATATTTACCGTCAAGAGTTAAACTTGTTTCTCACACACTGCTGGGAGCTGCTGCAGCAAGCTATGGTGAGCAACAACAAAAATTTGATCATCTAACCTGCATCACCCGATAACACTCAATCTCTATCGGGCCCCCAGCAGTGTGTAAGAAAACATTTTCCGCTTCTTTCATAACTCAGCCATGCATGCAAGGAAACCTATTTATTTCTAACCTGATAAAGTTTCAAGAGATGGTTTATTCGGAATCGGTTATATACTGTAATGTTTGTGGCTGAAACATGGCTCAACAGCAATTTTACCAGTAAAGAAATTTTACCTACAGATAATGGATACAATATAATACAGATCAGACCGTGGATCGCTGAGATGAACTGGAGGAGGAGTATTGATAGCTACAGTATTAAACATGGTATTTTCATCAGCTGTAGTCAAATTACTTCCATTGCTACTACGAACATTAAATCATTAAATCAAGAGGTATTACGTTAAGCAATTATATAATTGTAAATCATGCAATTTGCAACAATTTTTGACAAAAATAGCATGATTTAGGCATGAAGATTGCTAGTGCGCAAACCACAGCCCTTCCTTGGAAGAAAATTCAAGTGGGAGGGGCAATTCGTCTTAGGGGCATTTCTGCTATTTAAATTAATAGAAAAAGGTACTTCCCATTGAGAAACGAACGATACCGCTCTACAAAACCACTCTACGAATGCCAGTAGGAAGATTATTCTATAGAGAAGAGCCAAATTTAAAATATCAACATATTCCCAGTTTTATTTACTTTTACTATACAGTTACTCGTACCATGTTGCTGCACGTTGCCAAAATGTTGAAATAATTTAAGGGTGGATACAGACTCGTCCACCTGGTGGATAAAAATTTTCCAGCGGGAGGATGTTCCTGCACCGCCACAGCTACCTTTATAATCATGATAATTTTTGTAACAACTGGTTGATAATAACTATCTCTGTTGTCACAATATAGAGTGCTATAATCACACGAACAGACAACTTACTTGCAAAAACGACACCTGACGCCTTATATTGGCTTTACTGTTTATTTCACTCCAACCCCATTGGCCTCCCTTCGATGTTGTTCGTGGCAATGCAATGCAACCCTTAATCTGGTTGTGGTTTCTTGCAGCTAGACAGGCAGATAGCAAAATCCCTAGGCGTGGTCACTAGAGGTTTGCAAATCCGATCCGATCGGATTCGTTCGGATTTCGGAACCAAAATATTCATTTCGGATCGGATTGATAAAGTTGTTTCGTAGTCGGATCGGATCGGACTTCGATATCCGAAATAAAATGAATTAATTATCCACGCATTATCGCAAGAATTAATTATCCATGCATTATCGCAAGAATTAATTATCCATGCATTTATCAAAGCATTATCGCTGCATGTTGTCGCTGCATTAATTATTCGTTTGATACTTCAATTGGACGTCACTTTGTCAGCTTCTTGACATGTATTTCTTGCTTTCATATTTATTTGGTTAAATATTTCAACTTGAATGAGAAATTTATTTTTTTAAAGAATTCGGCATCGGATCGGATTGGAATTCTTTATCAAAACTCGGATTCGGATTAGACAGTTTCGGATCGGATTTTAAACATTAGGCAATTGTCGGATTATAAACGTCCAGTCCGATCTGATGCACACCTCTAGTGGTCTCCCAAGAGGCTTGCAGAACGAAGGGCAAGCATGCTGCATGTATTCCAATGCATGTTTGATACAACATGTTGAGAAATCCTAATTATTTCTTCGCATATTTTAGGCTCATCCTGCTGATAATTTATTGAAATCGGAGACATATCGTAAGTGGCAATGTGCTGATCCATCTGAAAAACAGGCATCTGTAATTATTGAGGTAATATATTTGTTTCCATGACTTGTCATTCATAACTTGGTCAATAAAACGAAATATTATAAAGATAGGAATACCATCTCAATAATTTCTTGGCTTTTCATTGGCTAAAAACATTTACACGACGAAAATATTTGGAAGTCGTCCTACGGCTATAGAATGTTTCCCTTTGAGTCATGATACTGTGTGTTTTCTTTTTTGTTTTTTTTTTTGTTAAAAATAATTTTCTTGGGTTTAATTATTTCGCGTTTAATTAATTTTGATACTTTTCTCGACTCTTTTTAGTTAGAAAAGGCATCTAAGATAAATGCAGTAGATATTGGTAAGTGGAAGAATACGTAGTGTGAAGTGGTGCTCCGCGATTGCTCCACATACGTGTGTACATTTAACACCCTTGGAAAATTCATGAGTAATTAATCACCTTTGAATCCAATTCAAATAATGAGGCAATGAAAATACATCTACTAAAGTTACAAAGTTTTAACTCTTCCTTTACAATACTTTTTTTCGCCAGAACTCGGATGATCGATTATGTCACGTGCTATGCTATATAAGTTCCCACGAAGGGCCTTCGCTTGAAACGTCGAAGTTTTACTTGTATATTTTCAGGTCGTTGAATCCTTCTCAATCCTCAGTTGTCTGGTGTTATTAGACAGATTTAGATCGAGGACGCGGACGTCAAAGACGACGTGAAAATGGCGTGTTGTGCCCATGTATGGATATGCCACGCCATTGTGACGCCATTTTTACGTCGTCTTTGACGTTCGCGTCCTCGATCTAAATCTGTCTATTGTCACTACCTATGCTGACTAACGCCCGTATTCTAAAAGCTCACTCACACTCAATGAGTGGAAGTTCAATTTGAGCTTCTCTTGAGTGTCAATGCTGTTTTTGAATAGCTGGAGGGTGAGTAGTCACATAGTAAGGTATGACACTCACCCTCCAGCTATTCAAAAACAGTAATGATACTCGAGAGAAGCTCAGATTGAACTTCCACTCATTGAGTGTGAGTGTGAGAGAGCTTTTAGAATATACGGACGTCAGACCCTTTCGAGTTTAGATCAGGTCGAAAGCCTTTCGGAAATTGAAAAGAACCACCCGAACAGCATCGCCGTCTGTTCCCTTAACCCATCGATGGACCATTTTGATGAAAGGCAGAGTTACAGACGAGCAACGCAATTCAGTTTTCGTTTGTAAAGCCCCGGTAAAGCGAGAAGCCTGGTTTCCATATGTTCGTAACGGTCGTAAAGATTGAGTCACGATCTTTCTCATTAGGCGTAAAAAAAAAATACCTGTGGTTCCGGTTTCATATCGTGAAAAAATTAGGGTCGGTAGGTCGGAAATAATTTTTTTTTTAAATATTTTTTTCATGGTTTTGTCGGTTTTTTGCTGGGCGATTTTCAGTAGAGTCCCAACATCAATATTAACTAGAGATGCGTATTTCCAATGGACGAATTTAGGCAATTTGGTTCAATAATTAGTGTGACAACAGACGCCATTTTGGCACGCTGTATGAGCAGCCAAAAACCACCTGGAGAAAATAGGGTCGCACGGTCAATCGTGTTGAAAAAATAATAAGGTCGGCAGAAAAAAATAGGTTCGATCGGGAACCGGAACCACAGGTATTTTTTTACGCCTCAGCCGAAATACAACATTTTAGAACTGAAAATACGCGGAGTGATTATAACTAGAGAATACTTATGATTTATATGTGGTTTACAGGTGTATAAACTATCATAAACTGGCCGTTGAGACAACCTCGTTCCCAGGGTCTTTAGGAAAGACCCTGGTATCGGCTGGTCACGTGCTCGTCCAAAATTGATTGCCCGAGGGGGGTGTGGTGAAAGTATCAAATTACAAACAGTTAAAAACATAAATTTTGCGAACTATTACCAGTAAGTTCAAAATACTTGCTAATTTTTGTTTATTTTATTTGCTTTGAATTTACAAGAACATTTTTACCAACAGTCAAGTCAAGAAACCAAGCAAATCGTTACTCGCAGTGCTCTCTCGTGTTATTATTATTCAATGCTCTCTTCACACACAAGCGCGGTTTTTATAACAAACGTTTATGGGCTTTTCAGTGGTCACCATTTCTACATATCTAATGTTTTTAAAACAAGCATTAGATTTGTCCTTTTTTGTAAACGTTGCTATGCTTTGCACGTCTTGTTTATAAGATTTTTAAAAGAAACAGTATTGTATTGTATTGTATTGTATTGTATTGGACTAGAGAGTAGAGCCCAATATCGGCAAATGTAAACATTTGATACTAGCCAAACAGAAAAATGTATTCATTAATTATAGTAAGGCTTTAGCCTTTTTCTTGGTCAGATAATGTTTTCATAATATGCACACAACTAGGCTATAATCTACATCACAAATTTACAGTGTCAGACGCGTGCATGAGACGCGCACAGACTGCCATACGAATACACATACATTTTCGAGTTTTCTACTTCTACTAAGGCTACTAACAGTTTTCATTGTGTCTCAATCATCTGTTTATTTCTAGTTCAATAAGTTCATTTATATTTCTATATTTATTTGATAGTGGCATATATAGTGATACATGTAGGCACAGTTAAGGATGTAGGCTATTTACACTGATAGAGACGATACAACTACAAGCTGTCCATTAAAAAATAACGGTATTCTATTTCACAAAGCAAAAAAATTAAATCTCACTTGTATTATTACGAATATATATAAAGCAGAAAATTAAAGCTTGTGTCAAAACGAAAGCTGTTTATAAAATTTATAAATGTGGTATAAACACAGTAGTAAACAGTAAGACAAATATGTTGTCGTTTGACTTATCTTTGATGTATGACATTACTGTAATACCGTAGATTTTCAACAGCAGCTAGACTTTGTCATATACCATGATCGTTGAGATCTTGCAGGAAATTTTATAGTCTTTTGACGGGATTTAAGTTTTGTGATAAGGCCTTTTATATAATCAACAATCTCGATACAGTTGGCGTCTTGGCGATATTTCGGAAATCAAAAGATCTCGCTATTTCGTTCCAATTCCACATCTCATCAATAAATATATTCTTTTGATCCGAGTATCAGGATATACTTTAATACTAACAGTTAAATAAATATAAACCACATTGGTCAGTCTAGAGATATGAATTTTCTTGTAGGCTTAATATTGCCACGCCGCCCAGGCGTGCTTTCTTTGTAAGTTGAAATCTGATCCAACTTGCTTGAATTGTAACTCGACACTAGATTATAGAGCAGAAAGTCACATCACGATAAATATTAATTTTTAATTACAGTTCTCTTCACGATTTCTTGTTGCAAATTTAAATTTCATCACACAAAATTGCAAATATTGTTACAAACGCGACAAACACGCTCCTCTCCCACCCTGCCCATAGTATCATTTTAATTTATCACCCAGAATCTGGGTGACACGTGACCAGCCGAAACCAGGGTCTTTCCATCCTCGTTCCCAGGGCTTCTCGGCTGCCTGCGTTGGGGTCTTTCCTCAATCTCGTTCCCCGAGCCTGCGATCCTTGGGAAGGAAACGAAGGCTCTGGGATAATCCATGTCAGAATTGAATATGATTGGTTGCTGGTATACAATGGAATGTTGCAATTTTGCAAAAATTAATTTTTAACCGTATATTTTTATATACAACATGGCGGCCGTTTAGGAGTGTACGAATATTGTTTTGGTGTTTCAGAGCTGTGCTATATACTAATACTACAAAGGAAATGCAAAGAAACGTATTGTACTTAATGCGTATAATATCACAACAGTTAAATGGAGCGGGAAAACATTACTCATATTTGTGTTGTACAGGTTTTCTGTAGTTTTAATTTATACATAGACTACAATACTACATAGTATACAGTACTGTCAGTACACTGTACTATTTGACTATAATTTCAAATATGTGCTATATTTTGCAAATACTATTTGTGTCAGAAATGGTTAATAACTTTTATTAATTTGTCTTTGTGTTATTTAATTGCGAAGAACTAGCTAATGACTACTTAACGAAGAACTATAGCTGGTTAATAATGACTAGTTTCAATAAATCCAATCGTGGGATTTACTGTTATATATTTTATTATTTAATGTATTTTCTGTACTGTAAACTTTTCAACTGCAGGAGTATGTAATACTCATTTTAACTTGTAGCATGTAACCCTTCCCTATATGGGTACATGTGAATCTTTTGATGTTATAATTTATTTATAGAAGAGTTCAAAAAACCTTTATTCTCTAAATAAACCACAATTTCACAGGCAGTGATATTAACTTGTATTCCAGTCTGCATACACCTAATACATATAATGAATTCTTGGGTTTCACTATGGCATTTTGCACGTTCTGACGGGGGTCAACCTAAAATGTATTGATGCTTATGCGGTTCTGGAGTGAGCAAATGATATGAAATTGCATGTATTTGCCACCAAACACAAGGCCAACATATACAGTGAAAAATTAATTCACTCTGATGACTGCGTCTCGATTTAGAGTTGACCCCCCGTCAAATTTATGACATCATATGAAACACAATAATATACAGTATAATATTACAGCTAATTCTGGTTAATTTATATTATGCTTTAATTTACCCTTTTATAACATATGGTTTAATCATATGGGGTAATGCTTATTCCTCAACTGTCAAACCTTTAATTATACTCCAAAAAAAGGTTGTGCGTGTTATAACTTTCTCTAAATTTGATGCCCACTCTAGCTCACTTTTCAAACAGTTGAATATTATTAAGTTGACTGATCGTCTAAATCTACACGTGGTTCTTTTCATGTACAAATATCATAACAACTTGTTGCCACCAACGTTCAAAAATTTCTTTACTCCAGTGTGCAATGTTCATTCTCAAAATACGAGGCTTGCTTCTAAATTAACATATATACTACCAAAAGCAAGAACAAATTTCGGAATTTTCAATATCAAATATCAAGGCGCTAAAATTTGGAATTCTTTACATGAATCATATAAAGACTTGCCGATTTCTCAAATTAAATATAAAATTAGAATCGATTTTCTTGGAAAGTATTGATTCAGTTTCCAACTCCAACTTTTTCTATACGTTATCGGGAGTCATGTAGGACTCTTTCTCGATCTTTTAAATATATTTGATATAGAACTATATATTGTCAATTTTCATAATTTTTTCGTCCTTTATTTGGTTTCCTGATATTTATATAGCCCTGCGGTTATTTCAGGGAGCCAGCTCTCTTTCAAATCTTCTCAAAAATTACAAAACAATTAGTCACAGATCACAAATATATTTTACTAATAATAATAATGTTAACTATAATTTAAATAATTTCTTTGTGTATATAAATTGCAATTTGAAAGGAGCAAAAAATAAATCTTGTATCTTGCTAATTGTAGCATAAAGTATTTAATGATTTTAATTTATTGAGTAGTACAATATGCCAAATTGGCAATCCCTTCGTTAATCTTGTCCACACAGTAATTCAAAAAAGCTCTGTACGAGGTTGTATTAATTGGATTCTGTCCAAGAAAACATCATAAACCTTTTGATCCAAATGTTACAAAGTATGAATTCCAGATTGGGAGACCATATAAATATTTTTAATAAAATTCATATACTTTTTTTAAGAAATATTTTATTCACAAAAATATTAAATGATAGTGATCAGCCACCAATACCATAATTCATTTTCATCAGCTTCCCCCTGGTTATGACCCCCTGCAGGGAATCACCTAGGGTGCAGGTATAATTTTGTGATGAATGATAAAAAATTACCCAATATAAATGCCGAGCCATAGAAATATTTTTATTACCATGGTCATGACAACTACCCTGTCAGTTTGATTGCAATATCAAAACTTGTTATTTACACTATAAAACAACACATACCTACTCTGAGAAGGGGAGGGGCAACAAAAATTCATATATTTCAGTTTTTTCCCTTCCTATCCAATTCAAATCATGCTGGCCATGAAAACAATTTCCCGATTGCGATACAATAAATTGCCAAATGCCTGACAATTTGGCCTAGCGACGCCCCTGAATGCTACAATGATAGCAACCTCTATTGCTATTATATCTCCAACCTTGAATGTCCTATTTAGTACAGTAGTTAATTAATGGCAGTAATCAGCATGAAGTCAAGTACATTTCTGGCCATTGATGAGAAATATTGTCCAGAAGCAGGGATGGATTTACTGGGGGGGGGGTGCCCACCCCCCTAGCCCTGGCCAGAGATGTTGCAGGGGAGGTGCTATTTTTCATGATAAAGCAAAAAAGACAAAATGAGATACAGTAATCTGAGTAATAACATGATGATAAGTGAACTGTGAACAATTACAATTCAAATACAGTAGTTGATGGGCGGGCGGCACACATGACCAACACAACTCGGCACCAGAGGCACCCCCCCCCCCCTACCAGATCATGCTGGATCCATCCCTGTCCAGAAGTACAGTGAAATAACAAAATAGGGTGCACTAAAGAGCATTGTGGCTTAATGATCTAATGAGATAATTAACCAAAGATAGGTAGACATACAGATGGACTGGTTAACCCATTCAAATATCAAGTCCAATACTTTCCCTGGTGTTAAACAGCTTAAAATAACAAGGTAGGGCAAACTGAGGCACATTGCAGCTTAACTTGCTCCAACTCTATCATTACAAACTGTAAATCTTTAATAGTAATTCCTATCCATGCAGACACAAAATTTGGTTATATTTCAATAATTTGAAAAGTGCTGTTGCATCCCCAACATACTAAACTGCTGGCAAATATTAAAACATACAAGGAAAGCTATAAGGGCAGTTAAAAAATATAACAAGGATTTGGTTTATAAACTGTTAATTTCTAGAGATGATATAAACACAATTTAAACATGGAATTCACTATATTCATATTTTTAATGATATGTTTTATAAGTCTAAATTCCGTTTAATATTCCTCTGATATACAAATCTTCTGAAAACTTTAATATTATCAAGGTTTATATAAACCGATTTAATATTAGAATTGAGACTCTTTTCAGGTATTTTAATACTACAGTAGCAATTAACACAGTACATTGTAGTTGTTTGTGTTCTTAAATTGCCCTTTCCACGCGCTCTTTCAACCATTAGAAACATAATAGCGTTGAACGGCTAAATTATGCTGGAGGAACCAGTCGAACCACAAGTGTCTCATCATTTAAAGCTTTTTCAAACTGACACAGGGGTGAATGGACAAGATTTAATACAATTAATTGTGACATTTTTCTTCGACAACAGCACTCTTCGCGGCTCCTGCCGACTCTATACTGACCCTGTTTCACACGCAATATTTTCCTTATTCAGTCGCTAACACACCTTTTGTATCCCACTATGAAGAACATCAACATTTCCACCAAAACCCAGAAAAAATAATCATTTTATAGACGAAACAATAAAATATTTCAAACAATTTGTTTTGCTTTTGCCAACGCATGCGCAGTTTGGTCGACATACAGTTTTCTGTATGTCTGAGATGGATTATCCCAGAGCCTTCGTTTCCTTCCCAAGGATCGCAGGCTCGGGGAACGAGATTGGGTCAATGTGATTATTCTTCAAATCGTCGGCATTGCATTGGCTGTTGTCATTATGCCGAATAAGGCTATTGTCATGAGAGGTTTTTAGAGATGGATCGTATCTAATACGGCTATTGTCATGAGAGGTTTTTGGGGACAGATCATATCTAAGTTTATTCCCTTCTATGTTGGTTGACTGCTGCGATTCGGATTGCAAGTTCGAATTTATGCCTTTGTGTGTATTATTTTCATTCTGCTGTTTTGAGGAAAACACAGCATCATCATTTGCAAAGTCAATTTGATTATTATTCAAATCATCGGCATTGCATTGTCCGTTGTTATTATGCCGAGCAAGACTATTGTCATGAGAGGTATTAAGTAATTCAGTGTTAATTGAGCTGAGGTTACTTTTGTTATATTGTTCACTGGCATGAAAAGCGGCCGCTTTGTCAATACTTTTAGCTTTGTAAACTGATGAGCCAGGTTCTTTGTCTTTATTGACATTATAAGTTATCTTGAGAAACGACTCTTCAAGAGCCAACAGCCTTGCTTTAAGGAATTGATTCTCTTCGTTAAGAATACAAATCACATCGTCTTGGCGTCTTATAGCGGCTTCCGATTCTTTCTGTTTAACTCTGAGCAGATCAATATCTGACTCAAGCTCATTTTTGGAAATTGCGGCAAATAATCGCGATTCTAAAATTGTTATTTCAAGCTTCAAGCCCTCTAGATCAACAGAGCAGGAACATTTACATACAATTATGCTCGCATGCGTGCGCTTAACAACTTTATAGTGCAACGGAGATGTCGTATAGGTCTACATTAAGGTATATATTCCTATATATCCAATGATTATAATCGTAATTTATTTACCTCTTTTAATTGTTTATATTGCTTTGTATGCCAGTTTCACAACATGCAGCTATATAGCCACTTCGGTGACATGGCGTTTGAGCGGTTGAAGTGGAAATATGAAATATGCATGGTAGAGTAGTAAAAAATAACAGAAAAATTGGTTAAATATACCCAATTTGTGGTTCTTTTAACCACAAATTGGTTAAATATACCCAATTTGTGGTTCTTTTAACCACAATTGAGTTTAATTTTTTTTTACAATTCAAATTGGTTATTTTAACCAATCTGTTTTCACAGTGCAGTTGGTAGGTTATCCGGTAATCAGTCAATATATATAGGTGTAAAATACCGCTATAACAATATTAAATTCTCTGTTTGGAATAACGGTAACCGGAAACATAAACTTTACACAAAACAAGTTGTTGGTGTCAACAGCCAAATGGCATTAATTAAACATAATTACAATTTGTGACTCCGGGACCTCAAAATTTGAAAAACGCAAAAACTTGACTTGATTTCAATTTTAAAAATTTGCGAGTAACGTTATTCATATACAACTACTGTATATTTATTACGGCATGCGACATCTTTTTAGTGTCAGCTTATTTCCAATGCTTATTACTCGTATTGTACTATTCCCTTATTGCTTTGCTTACTGCTTATTCCCTTGCATGCTTATTACCTTATTACCCTATTACCTTATTGCTTGCTTTAGCTTATGTGTGCTTGTTCATTTGCATGCTTATTACCTTATTACCCTATTACCTACCTTATTGCTTGCTTATGTGTGCTTGTTCCTTTGCATGCTTATTACCTTATTACCCTATTACCTTATTGCTTGCTTATGTGTGCTTATTCCCTTGCATGCTTATTACCTTATTACCTTGTTACCTTATTGCTTGCTTATGTGTGCTTATTCCCTTGCATGCTTATTACCTTATTACCCTATTACCCTATTACCTTATTGCTTGCTTATATGTGTGCTTATTCCCCTTGCATGCTTATTACCTTATTATCTTGTTACCTTATTGCTTGCTTATGTGTGCTTGTTCCCTTGCATGCTTATTACCTTATTACCCTATTACCTTATTGCTTGCTTATGTGTGCTTATTCCCTTGCATGCTTATTACCTTATTACCCTATTACCTTATTGCTTGCTTATGTGTGCTTGTTCCTTTGCATGCTTATTACCTTATTACCTTGTTACCTTATTGCTTGCTTATGTGTGCTTATTCCCTTGCATGCTTATTACCTTATTACCTTGTTACCTTATTGCTCGCTTATGTGTGCTTATTCCCTTGCATGCTTATTACCTTATTACCTTGTTGCTGGTCTATGCCATGTGCTTAATTCACCAGGAATATAACATGTGCATTGCATACATTTTGCAATTATGATAAACCTCAGAACCGTTTTTACCTGTCCAACCTGCCCATGCAACTTGAACACTTATTACGCAATTACGAGTAATAAGACAAAAAAACGCAATATACCGGTCTTATAGTGGGCATGGTATTATCGGGACGCAGCAAACGGCCAATTCTTTCAGTCCAAAAACATAATATTATTGGAATCGTAATTAGGTAATTAAATTTGTTTGGTTGTTGTTGCTGTTGCTGTTGTTGTTGTTGTTGTTGTTGTTGCTTATTACTGTTCTATAAAAGAGGCAATAAAGTCGGTTTTCGACTAGCGAATTTTCTCGCGCGAAGCGACCTTTTTCCTTTGTCGGTATTACTTATTACGTCAGCAAGACGTGGCAAATTGGATGCCGACAAAGGAAAAGGTCGCTTCGCGCGGAAAAATTCGCTAGTGGAAAACCGGCTTAATAGAGGGTAACAAAGCGCATTTAAACATGCACATTTACTATAGGCTAATGACTCGGCAAAATTACCAAACAGTCGGCAAAAGATCACTCACACCCCCACACTCGAAGAGAGTTAGCGTCGCCCCTGGACAAAATGCGCACAATATGTCAACGGCAACTTACCACGCCTAATGCTCGTGTCACTTGTGTCATTGAATTGTCATTAAGAGAGTCCATGTACTCGGCGTTGGCTTCTATTTCCACAAGAAGATCTTTTGCATAGTAC